ACATGTAATCTATATTAATTATACGAAATTAGATGTATGTATATAAACATATAAAGGTGCGTTTAGGCATTTTACAAAATATGGTACAAACCAAATATATGAAAGAATGACTTGTTCCAATTTCTAGTATGAAAATTTATACCTTTATTCAAATTTCTATATTTAAACACTGCAATCACCTTCTCTGGAATCAACTTACTATTTCTACGTATATAAATTTTCCAATTAGAAATATCAATGATATGACTATACTCAAAAATATTGAAATTTAAGTTAGTCATTCTGTCAACTGAAAGGCAAATATAAATGGTCCTTTCACTGTGCTAGTATTTTCATCCCTTGTTTTTTTATATTTTCCATCTGCTGTCGATATCAAAGAAATAAAATAGATACTTTGGTTTAGCAATAATGTCGCTGTTAATTAAGTTAGATAATAATTCTGACGGATCAGTCTAATTAACTCTACACAAAAAATTGCAAAATGGCCCTAAAGATATTTTCACTTAAAAAAAGTAGGTATTAACTTACGTTTAAACATTTCACGAACTATGGAAAACACAATTATCTAACTTAACTAACAGCGACATTATCGCTGAACGATAATATTTATTTTATTTCTCTTGATATCGATAGCAGATGGAAAATATCAAAACCAAGGGACGAAAACACTAGCATAGTCAACCATTTATATTAGCTTTTCAGTTGACAGAATGACTAACTTCAATTTCAACATCTTTGAGTATAGTCAATATCTAATTTCTTGAAAGAAAAAGTTAATTTGTTTCTTTATGTTTTCTACTTGTACATGTTACTATTAAATTAGTAATAGATTAATGTTCTGGCTTTTTTAACTTATATTTCACCCTCCTCTGCCCCTCCTCATACAATTCGTACGCACTTATCGTCCATAATCTGTTTAATTATCCGTTTTTTGTTTAAAAAATATATGTATGTTGAATATTGTAATTTTTTTTCAATTACACATAGGGATGACACGATGCCAATTATTCTTTTGATACGATATGCAATATCGAACGGAATTTATCGATATTTTGATATAATTGATTGAAAATTATCTGTTATATACATTGTTATTTAATTATTCAACCATTAAAACAAACTTTATGCGTTCATTAAGATGAACTCAAAAATAAATCTTGCAGTGAACAGTTTGTTTTTGTTTAATCATTTAAATGAAGTTATAAAAACTTATTGAGAATTGCTATTAAGAATCAATGAATTTAAAAATTTACTAAATGTGATGAATTGCTTTGTTGTTAATTATTAATCGTTTCTAGTTTAATTTGTAGAATTTAATATTACGCAGTGTTAATTTGAGCGTAAAATTACAATATAAACTGATGAATAGAGTTTTATTTATATACGTTTTAAACTTTCATTTTAGATAAAATTAAAAATAATTATCAAGAGATAATAGAACTTTTGAAGGTTGATCTATCAATGTGAAGGTATTAATTGTACCAAACATCGATAATCCTTGTATAAATGAAAGAAAGTATCGATACCACAGAATTTCCCACATATCGATATGTCTATTTATATGAAGGTTTCGGTTAGGTTACACTGATAATACAGCTTTTCAGCTCAAGTTCCTAAAATTTATTTTTATTATTTTGTTTTTAGTAAATTAAGATGTTTATTCCCATATTAATGTCACTAAGATTACAACTATTTATCTATTAAATAAGATCTAAAAGTATTTGATAGTTGGAAAAAATACATGTTTGTTGTAGATTTTGTTGATTGTTAAAGAATGACTAATTTGAAACCATTTCATAGAATGATAGGTCTAGATGCATTCTTTAATATTAATAAGGGGCGAAGTTCTCTTAATTTATTGAAAACTAAATAATAGAGAATAATTCATTAATTTTGATATTTATTTCTGAGTAAGAATGAATGAGTTTTGACCATTTTACATGTAATGTATCATACAACATTTAAAGGTGTGTTTACTATCTACTGTCATGTCATACAAAGATAAAGCAATGTATCCATTATAATCCGGTCGTTCGATATTCCGGCACGCCCTGTTAATCCGGCTCTCTGGCGCAGGCGTATCAGCTGTTTTCGTTTCCACATTTCTGAGCGGGATTCAGTATTTTCCTATTCTATAGTTGGATTTACCGCGTGCCATGTATTAACTGTTACGTTAGATTATTCGAGTGTAATGTATAAGTGTAGTGCCGTGTCGGAAAAACGAAAACACGTCACATTAACTTTAGAGACAAAGTATGAAATTTTAAAACGTCTGGAAAGAGGAGACAGGTTGCTTCAACTGTCTAAGGAGTACAATATTGGCCGGGCAACTGTACATGATATAAAGAGGAAAAAAGACAGAATTGAATCATTCTTTAAGAATAATAAATCGTCGAACAGCATAAGAAAAACTTTGAAAGCGGGTGCGTTTAAAAAAAAAAATATTCCCCCCTTTAATCCGGCTTCGATAATCCGGCACTTTCATTTCCGATTTAGGCCCGAATTGGTAAAATCCTATAGAACAAAATAGGATTCAATTTTGTTAGTTTTAAATGTAATTTACAATAATTATTTTTTATTATTCATCTATCAATGATAATTGTTCACCTCAATACTAAATATTTTTACTACTTGAACTACCAGAAATTGTTTAATTGACAATATATTTAAAATTCAATATTTTAATTATAAAAATAAAATTAAGAATTAATTTATTCCAATATTTTCTTTACACAAGTACTCAGCAGCGATGACAGGGGGTCAAGATCACATTCATCACTCTAAGTGCAATGTCATAAGTAGTGGAGTGTATCCAATAACATGTTTTTAGACAACATAGTATTGACTGATAAGAAATAATATCTATCAACTATATGGCTGCTTTGTACGATAAATGTACATTAAATAAAAATTTAATGTAAATAAAATTCAAATTAAATTAAATAAAAATTTATTATATTGACGATGGAATAGAGATAAGATAGCATGTTACAATATTAGTAATTTGATAACTATAGAAACTTCATCAGAGTAACTGTCCATTAGAGTGGCAATAACAGAGGAAATGTTACCTTATATCAACTCTACCTCTTCCCACTTGCCATCAATGACGTACCTCACATCGACAGCCACACAGCAAAAGCCTGTAAGTGCAATTTAATTAGAAAGTGTGTTTTTAAGATTTTCTGTTCAATCTTGGCCTCGTACTTTTATTTTAATGCAAACTAAAAATGTTATTTAAAACGTTACATCTTTATCTTAAGCATGCAGTAAAAAGCTTTTGCAGTGTGGCTGTCGATATATTTCTAAATTATTAATTACCTTGATAACAAAAATTAAACACTTACCACATCCTCGCAAGAAAAGGGATACAACTCAAAAATGCTGCATTCGATAAAAAAAAAAAATCAACGTTAAAATTTATTGAAGAAAAGAATGGTTGTGGTGATCAGTCAAAAAATTAAAAATAAATAATTATATTTATTTTAATTTTTACTGCGGTTTTGACCCAAAGTTCAGGGCTGATCAAAGAAGATAATTCCGTAAGACCCTAGATAACGAGATCTTCTCCTTTGATCAGCCCTGATAAAGACCTGAACTTTGGGCCGAAACATCGGCAAAATTAAAATAAATATACTTATTTATTTTTTGACTGATCACCCCAATCATTAATTCACAATTTAAAACTTATCCACAAATAAATTAATTTATTTTTATATGTACTGGTACTTCGACATAAATTCTAAATCTTTATCAAAACGTAAGCAAAAACAAGGCAACATCCAGTAAATAAAAGGAAAAAACAATAACATGAAAGTACAAAAATAACATAAACTATGGATAATAAATTATAAATTTATTATTCATTATTCATTATTCCTATTTAGGATGACAAATAGTCAGGATTTCATTCATTATTTTTATTATTCGTGCCGACATCTTGACCCTACCTTATGGATCATCATCAGGACTATATAAAATTAAATAATAAATATTAGGGATAAGGTATGTATTTGTGTATTACAAAGAAAGAAATAAAAACACAAATAATAAATATAAATTAGGTAGTATGGTTGTATTATATAAGATAAAAGAAAAGATAACTTAAAAATATGAGATACTAATAGTGATAAAATATGAGTCAAATCTTTGAAATTATAAAAACAATTGGAATACATTATAACAATATTATTAACTGAGAAGTGATAACTGAACATAATATGATTAAATAAATGTCAGAATAAAAAGTATTTCACATAAATATATCCAAAATACGTTGTCAGAAGTTCCCAAATTTTTCATGAATAATTAAATAATTGACCGCCTAGAAATAAAAAATTGATAAAACTAAATTTGTTGAGTTAAATGCATTTACAAAGATCCACCACCAGAACTAAAATCCTTGGTTCACATTTGTGTTTAAAATTTCTATTAAAGTGTATTACCGTTGCATTTATCTTGTTACTGATATGAATATTTATTAACTTCCTTTTTTCACACATATTTGATCACATTCTTTTGTGTTTTCAGTTTACAATGTTCTAATGTATTCCAATTGTTTTAATAATTTCTAAGATACATCTCACTTATTTTAATCACCTGTTGTATCTCTATTATTATTTACATCCTTACTACTTAAGTTATTCTTTTCTTCTGTCTTTTTCCCACATACATATCGCATCTTTTATATTTCTGATTTATTTTTATCTCTCATAAGCTTGAGTTGAAACGTCGCCACCCATTATAAAAATCATAAATATTTCTCATAAAAATTATCTGCAAAGCAGAACTGTAATTCATCTCTCTAATCATTAAGTTTCATACTGTTTGAGTTGAACCAACATCACACATTAAAATAACTTTTGTTTAAATTTCATTTGAGTATTTGTTGTTTGTTTTTCTCAAATAATGCACTTTTGAGTTGCAAATTTTCTTGTATGGATACAATATGTTTATTTTAATTATTATTTTAACCTATTTTGTTTTATTCTTTTGTTTAGTACCTCAAGGAAGTCCAAACTCAACAAGCCCTGTCCCGATCGCACCAAAGAAGACTGCTCCACCTCCACCGCCTCAGCCCACCCAGCCGCCAGAAGTGTGTCTTAAATGGAATTCTTATCATTCTAATATGCAAGCTACATTCCCCAGTCTCCTCAACAATGAACAATTTGTCGATGTTACCTTGGCTTGTGAAGGAAGGTCTATCAAGTGTCACAAGGTAAGGAAAATTGTTGTTTATAAAAGCGCAAGTGATTAATATCTATAATATAATCAAACTTAACATATCAATAATAAGATCTAGTGTAATGATTAGAGATCGGTTTTCATGTAATAAAAAATGTTGTAAAGTCATGTTTACACATTTCACAAACTTCGGGAAACATGAGTGTGTAAAGGAGGTGATTCTGTAGGCTAGTATTTGTGGCTATTCATGAAAAATCAAACGACCTTTGGGTTAGCACCAGTGTCGCTTTTACATATTTATTTACTGTGTGTTACTTGAGAGGTGTTATTGAATTTAATATTTCCTAGTATGTATTAAATCAATCTTCTTTAACCACCATATTTGAAAAAGTATGCCTTCTTTCATTTTCTTTTGCATTTTTAAAAAAATTACAATATATCAGGGCAAATTCTATCACTGATACAGTTTTCATGACCGCCATGTTTGTTTCTCTGACAAAAGTGTGTAAAAATGTTTTATTTTTTTTTCCTATCTGTTTTTCTGGTGTTTTGGAAATGTGCAAATCCAACATAAAAGCCTGCTGTTTATCTACTTTCTGCAGAACAAAATAAAATTTAGTGGATAGAAAGAAAAAATTAAATGTGAAGACATTTTTTTATCTTTGATATTATCTAAATTTATTTAAATTTATAGAAAACATTTTTATTGAAAATAAATTGTTATTTACCTCAGTGTTTTTAATTAAACATTGAATAATTTTTATGTTTTATTTTAAAGAAATAGAAAACATTGAAAAAAAAAAGTTAATTAAATTCACTCGCTTTAAAAAGAAAGAAGGAATGTGGAATACCTTTTACAATATTATTGCTTGAGTGACAAAGAGCATGTTTTTGGGATTTAATTTAATTAATTTCCAATGCTAAAACCCTCAAAGTCTATCACAAAATGTAAGATTCCTGATAAATCTAAAATTCTGGTTTAATACAATATAATGTTGTTTAAAATATTTCAAAAATTTATTATTATTAATTTTAATAAAAAAAATTATTTCCAATTAGGTAATGTTATCTGCTTGCTCATCCTACTTCGAAGAACTATTAAGTCAAAACCCTTGTCAGCACCCAATCGTCTTCATGAGGGATTTAAAATTTTGGGAAGTCCAAGCACTGGTCGAATTTATGTACAGTGGAGAGGTTAATGTTGCTCAAGAAAAACTTCCGTCTCTTCTTGCTGCTGCAGAAGCATTACAAATTAAAGGTATGACATATTTATTTTAATTTTTTATCAAACTATATATTTATCTGTTAAAACTGCATTGAAAATTTAATTAGAAGATTGTTTCCGTTTTTTGAATTTTGAAGTTGTAATTCATTCTTTTTTTTATCTTTGATAGGATTAACCGGACCTTCTACGACAAGTTCAAACCATGATGACGACCCAACTGGTAGCGGTGAGACTGATGATGGACATCCACAGCCACAGAAAAGAATAAGAAAACGAAAATCTGCTCATCCTGTGGCCTATCCAATCCGAATTCAGGTAAATTATATATATTTAATCCTAAATAATAAAATTATTCGTACTCGATCAGTGGGACAACAACTCATTACTGAGTCAATGCCTCCTGAATCTATGCCAGATGTGAAGCCCACTTTAACCTTTTGAGTGAATGAATTCCGCTATATCTGTTTCCTAGAAGAGGATATATAATTCTTTGGCGCCATTCTTAGTCTTACATAATTCCACCAAAGACAAATTATAGCGTCTTTGTTTCATAAGTTATTCAAACTGATTCATTGATCTTGCTCACTGTTGATAGATCAGTACTTAGCGGACTAAAGTTGTATAGAGCTGTGTCCATATTTTGTTGTCTCCTCACTGATTATGAATAGATTTCATCAGTATTAACAACCAAAAACATTAAAATATGTTCACATGACATATTTATTTGTATTAAAAATGTCAGAGTTTCTTTCTATATATTATCCATGGTGCATAAGGGATCTTGGAACGATTCTCCTTTTTTTTTTTACCTTTTTAATAGAATTTTAGTATAATAAATAGTAACATTTTTATTTTTTTAAACTTAAAATATCCCATGCCAAATGCGGTATCTAGGGAAATTTCAGCAAGAATTACAATTAATCTTGAAAACTGTATATTTTAGAATTTTAAAACACAGAGATCAGTACATTGCAAAGGAACTTTACTGGGTCTTGATTTCTCCATTGAAATCATTAAAAAACAATTTGTCCTGTCTTGATCTGATGACTTAACAATTTTTGAGCTTTGAAGTTTCCTAATTTTTTTCAAGGAATATTACTGTAGAATACTACAAAGTTGTAGTACAGTTTTAAGGATCGAAATTGGGATTCATCACTTCATGATATTCTCTTTTTTTAATAACACCTTATTTGTCTAAATCCATAGCTCCAGGGAGCTGGAAAAGGGACCTATACTACTCTGTTATATATATATATATATTGTGACGTTTTCAAAAGCAACAAAAACAAACAAACGAGTTTCTTTTTTAATATACTATTTATTTTAACACATATAACATCTCAGGTTGGGTTCTGACACCTGAACACTCATTCAACATTTAATAACTATAATTTACGAATTAATAAATACATATAAGAAACGAGATACATACAATAAGAAATTATACATTTAAAAACCTTTACTGTCCCAGTCTAAACTTTGTGGCTCTTTCCATTTTCTCAGCTTGCTGGCTTCCCTCTTGACAGCTTGTCACATCTTCTCTTGACGGCTCATGATCTTCTCTCTTAGCCGCTAGCACCTTCCCTCTTGGCGGCCCGTCGCAGTCTTCGTCACATGAGCTTGCTTCCCCCACTTCTTCTCTGTAGTTCATGTTCTTGCCACTTTCGCGCCACTATTTATATACCATGTAATGTTGACATTACAATATATATAGTAGATATTGCCGGCTTCATGTTAAATTAATGAATGTGCAACGTTAAACAGGCTCACATTCATTACTTTGATTAATATGATGCCGACGATATTCAAACTTAAAATTTTTAATGGTACCATAAAATTCAATAGTAATTATGTAAGGGATGAAAATGAATTATGCATTTCTTGGAAAAAGAGAGATATTCATTAATTTTTATTATACTCTCCAAAATTTCGGTAAGAAGTTGTTCATTAAGACATTAGCAATGCCATGAAACAAATCCTCACTGAAAAGTTGGGAGTAATATTTTTAGAATTCTCTTTGATGTAGTATATTCCATTTTGCTTCAGTCCTTACTTACATCATTATTTTCCTACCTATACTAGGTAAGGAAAGTATTGCAATCGGGTCAAATTTCCAACATGCGGTTTTCGACGGATCTATACGTTCCAGAGCTCCCTGAGTCCAAAAAACACATTTTTAGCTGTTGGTCTGTCTGTCTGTGCCAAGATTTTCTTGGGAACTACTGAACCGATTTTGTTGCTTCTTTTTTTATTTTGTAGGGTTTTGACTACTGATGACAGAAATTCGGTGCTCCATGCGCAATAGCTTCCACACAATAAATGAAAAACTGTTTTTCTATAGACTGTAGCGCAAAACCGGCTAACGATTTTGATGAATTTTTCCTATAATATTCTAATCATTGTTCTTTCAATTTTCGTATATAGACTAAATTCCCGAAAAAATTTTAAAAAGAAAAGAAAAATGTTATGGGACCTAACTCCCTAAATATATATTATACAGTAAAATTTATAACAAAACTTTCGAAAGATAATTAAATAACCAACAAAACAAAAAACAAAAATCATCGGAATCGAACCAGTATTAGCGATGATACAGCTTATTCTATTTTTTACTATTTTTTGAAAGGTAATGAAATTCCCTACAATAGCTGTATAAAAATTGTTCATTTTGGACAACTATTAACAAAGTGACAGCTATTCAATTTCCAATGTAAGATTGCGGTTTATTATCCTGGTGTCAGAAGGGGTGAATGAGAGAATAAAGATGACTAAGTGAATGTACGAAAATCTGTTGTCCGCATCACACAATCTTCACTATTTCCTCTACTTTTAACAGAAATTACTGTTTGACAATACTAAGCTGTGGCAAAAAGTTTTTGATCAGCAATATTAGGAAGTATTGAAATTTTTACACTGATCTACCTTAAGCCGGTTTACATTGCTTTAGTTAATCAAATAAATCATACTCAAATCTTATGTTTAATCAATTTTCCGAAAAATGTATCTAGTTCAATTCTTTTTTGTTTCTTCATAAACATATGTAAAGATATAAAAAAATTTCTGAAATAGGTAGGGAAGTCGTGTGAGTGGACACACCAGATATTTTTTTCTTGTTTTGTTTTTACAGCATTAAAATTTATTATTATATTCTTTTGAATATGTTGAGAAATTGAAAGCATCAAATTCACTTAACAAACATAGGATTAGATGATGTCATTCTGAATTTATTTACTGTAATTTTTATACATGTATATCTTTTTTTAGAATACTCCGTCACCATCTCCTTCTGGAAATCAAATACAATCTCAGGCAAGTCCACAAACCCAGCAACAACAACAATCTCTACAACAGCAACAGACTCCTCTTCAAGTACAAAAGATTAAGGTTCCAATCATGTCTTCTATCCCAGGTTCCAGCCACCATCGTGAAGAACCATCCTACCATCCACCTGTTAGGATAAAGCGGGAACATAGTTCGACACCACCTCTTGTAAGTTTTAGAAAATAATTTTTAAACGAAATATTTTATCATTATTTTATTTACATTGTAGCTGCAGAGACAATTTATTGAATAAGTACATTTATTAGCCCCATGACAATTCGAAATTCAATAAAATTTTTACTTGTTAATTTTTGCTTGTAATTAGTATATTATTCAATTGTGATTGATCATAAAATTGAGAAATATTAACAAGAATTCTAAAACCATAACTGGTCAATCTGTTCATTTGAGTAAAAATTACTTTTATAATATCCGTTATAATTATAACTGCCTATTGTAATAATTTTTACTTTAAATCATTTATTTGTATATTCTCAAATTCATAAAATAGTTTTAAAAATTTCTCTTTCTTTTATTTTAGGCCTTGCTTAAAGATGAACCTTTGGATCTTGGTGTTGATTCAAGTGTAAGTATTTAAGAATTTAATTCAATTTATAGAAAGATTGAAATTTTTTTCTTTGTTATTGAATTTAATAACAATTGAAATTATTATTTAATATTAAAGAGGCAATAATATTAATTTTTATGGATATCATTTCTTATTTGTATTTCAACACAGCTTCATTGATTATATCAAACTTAAATGATTTAATCGTTCCTATTATCTATTAACCAACTCTTTTTAAGTTTATACCAATTTCGTTTATCTATAAGTCTATCTTTGTCTGTTTTTCAACCAAGTTGCTTAACTTGGTTGGTTTTTTAATCAAGTCGCAGAAAAAAATGTTATATTTAATTTTATGAGTTTTATTTTTTACTTTTTTATATAAATTATTCAGTTTGTGATAATCTTTAAATAATAGGAAAAAAAAATACATGGCCACTTTAGTCACTGATTATTAAATTATCTGAGCAGTGCCAAATATTTTGTATTGTGGCATAATTTTTAAATTTCTATAAAGTTCATTATTTATTATGATTATATTTTTGTTTAGGAAAGAAATAAAGAAGATAATAATGGACAAATGTATAACTCAACTCTTCAGGATACTATTAACCGTCTACATGGGAAGCAACTGTCGTTGAATCAAGGTATAGAATGTTTTTGAATTTTTTAAATTCTTTATTAGAAAAACAAATTTCAGCTGAAAAATGTAGCAAATTTAATTTAAATATTTATTGTGTAACTTAACCTCCCAAAAATCTCATTTCCTCTTCATTTGTTTACTTCTTGTTTCTCCGTGCATTCTTTAAACACAAGATTCCATCCCACAAATCTGTTTATTCTTTACCATAGAACTGTTTCCTTTAAAAAATACTAGATCATTAGTGCTACCTATTTTAGTTATTCCTTACCCATCTCCATTAGCAAAAACTCATCTTTAACTCCATTTAAACACCAATTTTCTTATTTTACTGTTAATATTTATATTGCTCACAAATATTATATTGCAAAGCAAATGTATAACCATACTGACATTGATTTATCTATAATTTCATTTAATCATTTGTTTATTTATACTTATTTTCTAATTTCATTTTAATATCACATAAGTTAGTAATTTAAGTGTCTTGCCTACCATTTTGTGCCAGACAAATGTAAATATAATTCCTATTATTCATTTTCATTTTTATTTGGAAATTTTCATTATAATTATAACTAAATATTTCAGAATAATATTTACTTTGTCGATGTTACAGTTGAGTCCATAACACAGAATAGATCCCATCCATAAGTCCATATTAAAATTAGTTCAATGTAAAATGCACATGATCAATATTTTATTTTATCGTTACTAAATACTAATAGTTTATACTATATACTAATAGTTTTTTGCGGAATGTACTGCACTGAACGGGAGTCTTTCTAGATGTTAAACAGGCATTTCATAGAATTTGGCACCCGGGACTGCTGTACAAACCCTGAAAATTCCTACATCCTACATACTTCCTCATTATCCGTTCCTGCCTAACTGATAGATACTTCAAAGTAAAACAATAATGCTTATTCATCCCTCTTTTCCTAGTCCGCTGGTGTTCCTCAAGGTAGTATCCTAGGTCCTATCTTTTACACATTTTATACAGCTGACATCCCAACCCATCCTAACACTGTTATTAACACATATGTGGATGATACATGTGTCCTATCCGTTAATAATGACCCAACCATTGCATCCCAAACTCTTCCATCACACATTACCTTGAAGAATGGTGTCGAAACTGGAGGATTAAAATAAATTCTAATAAATCCTATCAAATCACCTTTACCCTTCGCCGTAAACCTATGACCTCCTTTCCTACAGTATCCTTTAATAATACCCCGCATATTCCTGTTGAACAAATTTGATACCTTGGATTCCACTTGGACAAACGACTAACTTGAAATCCTCATACCAGTCCGAAAAGACAAGAAACCACTCGACGTTTCCGACTACTCCAGCACTTACTAGAAAAACGATCTAAGCTTCCAGTTTATTACAAAAGACTCATATAAATAACTATAATAAGACCTATGTGGACTTACGGACTTGAGCTTTGGAACTCCACTAAGCCATCGAATTCCTCTCTTCCTTACATTCAAAAAATCCTTAATACTCCTTACTTTGTCACCAATAAAATAATCCATAAAGACCTTAATGTTCCTTATGTTTCTGATTTGGCCCAATCCAGATACCTATCCTTCCATATTAACTTCAGAACCATCCGAATCCTCTTGGATCTAACCTTGCTCCCTCTTCTATCCCTGATAACCCTCCGAGGCATCTGAAAAGAAGATGGCCTCAAGATCTCTTGTTGTAAATAATTTTTTTTTTATTAGAGCGCTACCATTGGGTAGTTTCTCAATAATTGATTTCATGTTATTATTTTCTATTATCAAATTTAGTAAATGCATTTTATAATATGTAAATGTAAATTTATGTTGTAAATATCATAAATAAATAAAATTTAAAAAAAGTTTAGTATTTATTTATTAATTTTATTTATCTAATCTAAGCAACAAGATAAAACTTTAATTTTTATTATTATTTCAATTTAGTAGTTTTTGTCAATTCAGGCTCTGGACTTGTTAAAATGGAAAGTAATGGAGGTTTGAGCGAGGACGAAGGTAGCGGCAGCGACCGCTCGCCGGTTCAGACAGATCCCGGAGAATCAGGAGATGCATGAATCACCCACCGAAGCAGCACTGTCGCTTTACTATGCAAAAGATCTGAGCCATACTTCTCTCATAGTATAAACTCTAAAACAAAACCTAAGTGCCGTTGCTATTGAAGCAACCTAAATATTATTCAAGTTGAATCTGATTTTTGACTTCTTGTGTTTTGATCTCTTTGTATATTATTGTTATTGGGTTTAATTTAAATCTCCGCTCAAATATTAATGATTGTATATAGACTGTTAATTTAATTATTCTACTATTTTGCTACTTATATCTTAATAATTATTATTTTATAATGACATATTATTACAATCTATGTTTAGTTATTTATTTACAATGATTACATATATGCCCTTCTGAGACTTGGCGTATTGCTACTTAATAATATTTACGCCAGTGCTACATTAGTTTTTAAGTTGTATATAACTGATAATGCACTTTTGTTCTTAAAGAGCAGTTTGTGATACTCAAAATAGTATTACTTCATTTTTTTTTTTTTTAACTTTTTTTCTCCATTTTTTAGCTTATAAAAACAAGTATTTGAAAAGACCAAAGGTGACTTTTATACATTAATTTTAAAATTTGCTAATACATTTTTAGTATTAGTTTTGAATATAAGTATGTGACGAATAAAGAGAGACTTTTACCCCTTATTGTTAATGTATTATATCTATAAGAAGTTTTTATATTTATCATTGTATTGAAATCCTAAAGAAGAAAGTATAAAATGTGGTTTTTAAATTAGATTATTTTGCTTTAAGTATACTTAGCTTATAACACTTATTTTATTTTCAAGACATATTTACCTAAACTACTTGCTTGTGATGAGCAGGAAAAAAATAATAAATAGGATTCCATTTTCTAATTATAAATATATTGGAATCTGTGGCCTTATATATTTGATAGGAATTGTGTGCATAAACCAAAACTATTTTCTTTTCAAAGTAGTTTTGTTATTTGTTACTTTTAACAGTTATAATTTTTGTATATTTTGAAAAAATAAATCTATATATATATATGGTAATAGTAAAGATTTATGTAAAACTGGTTTCTTCATACATTGAAAAAGAATAAATATATATAAGTAAAAAACCTCACGATTCATTTATTTTTTCCTTAAATGATTTATTTTTTCCGTTAAATATTGACATCATATTTGTTTAAATAAATACTAGTTTTATGTTCTGTATCACATCACACAGCTCACTCTACCTGTAGCTAAGTGAACTAAGGATGATGTTAGGAATTGTAAATATAATGCATTAATCGGCTCTAAGTGTTCTATCTTCAAACAATTCTGAATTTCAATTTCAAAAAATTTATATTTAGTTTCTAAAATAATATATTCACCATAGCCCATGAAACTGGCTGGCAAAACACTTGCTTTAAATGCAGCATTTCAATATTGAGATTGTCTGTTCAAAGGTTAAGTTTCTTTAATTCAATTGTTTTTTTCAGTTTAATCAATCAAACAGTTCAAAATTTCAATTTTAACAAATTTACATTTGTCTTAAAAGAATACATTAAACAATTGATCATCAACCTGATCAGCTTAACTACTGTTTTTAATATACTGTTTAATAGCGGTTCTGCGGTATTATTTATTGATAAATATAGATTACCATCAATATTGGTCCATTCTAACTCTATTTCATTTGGTTTTTAAATAATATTTGTTGATTGATGAGTATTCTGTGTAATTTATATATTATCAATATTATTTATAATAGTGGATTGATGGTGAAAATTGAAGGGAAGTTGGTTGGGGAATTGAGTCAAAAAAGCAAAAATAAATAAATCATATTAATTTTTACTTTTTATTTATTTTTTACTGAACATCAACCAACTTCTCTTCATTAATATTTATAAATTATTATATTAACACAGTTGAGAAATATTATCTTAGTTCTCTCTCTTAAAAAATGCTTTCTTAATATGTTTATAAGTACTACCTAATTATTTATACTGATAAAAAAAAGTAAAAATATTAGAAATTTCTACTTCTTAAAGATATTGCATGTAAAAAAAAACAATGAAGTATTTAAATTATACACATTGCAATGCCTATAACACATTAAAAATTAAATAAACAAACTTGAAATAATTTAAATTATTTGTCTTACTTCACTGTTAGTAATAGCACAGTTTTAGTATAGTATAAGAACAATTTCCCAAATCGAAGCGGCCTGAATTAGGCCAGGAAGCCATAAGCAAAGTTACTGGAATAGAGAAGCAGCAGTTGGGACAGAAGCAATAATAAATAAGTTAGTCTGGAAATAAATGCATTCACAGCCTGGAATGGTTTGTTTTTGTTGTTTGTTGGAGACAGGATACTCGTGTAACTTAGAATAAAATAATTTTAACTTATTATAATTGTATCTATGATTATGTTTATTATTTATGAAATATTGAGGAATATCACTACTTCTGATATGACATTAATTCTTAATAATCGAATCACGGAATAAGCAAAAATATTATCAGAGACTATTATTACAGATTTAAACAGAACCATTAAACTATTGATGAAGTATTTTCTGTAGGGCAAATATTAAAGAAAAATTGAAGTTTTAATCACATCCTCACCAAATTCCACTGGAAAAAATTATGAAGGACAAGAAATTTTACTGGCAAATAACTAGGAGTAACAGTTATTGTCCTTTTTAAATTTTAATCTTGCAGGAAAGAACCTATACACTGTGAGGGAAGCTTTTCAAGCGTTGGAGGAGTGTGCTACTAATTACCAATGAAGATGATGAAAGTCATATGGCAGTAAAGATTTAAAAATGTACGATCCTTCATTTACTCAGGATCCCAGATTAATCAAAAGAAAAGCTTAAAAGAAGAAAACCATACCTTTTTTTTTTTCTCCAAAACACCTATGAAGCGTTGCATTACACAAGACCTTAAAATAAAGTATATCCGAAACAATAATCCAGTACCAGTACTTACATACCACTCAAAATGTTGATCTAAAAAAACAAAAAAAAAAAAAAATGCTTTCTCAAGGCAAAAGAGAAAAGTTGCAGTCAATGATTCAACAAGTGGTTCATCATGCTGAATAGTAATAATAACAAAATGATAACAATTTTCAGTAGGATGTACTAATTTTTGAAAATTTAAAGATATTTAAAAAAAGAAATAAATAGTTTATCTGGACTAAATTGTTTATATATTTTTTTTCATATTGCATAATGAAATAAATAAATGGAGATAATATAGCTTGCTCATAAGAATATAACAGAAAAAATGTTCCCTTTTCACATATATATTTGCTCTAATGAACGAATGAACTATAATTGAAATGTTTGTTTTCATTTCGCCTTAAATATAAATTTTATAATTGAATTTTCAAAGTATTTGGAGAGGAATGTTAGTTTCAATGTCACGTGAGTTCGCCCTTGGTCTGCAATATTCTTGTGGAGGAGCTATAATGATTAATTTTATTTTTATTTACTTATTTTTAAATTTCAGATGTTAGGTGCAAATATGCAGATATGACAGAACATGCAATCATGCACCCAAGGTCTTGGTTGCTACAGCTCTTCATATCACCTCATCGCAACATCTTTTCTAATTATGTAAATGATTTTTAAGAAATTTATTTTATAGAACAGTACTGCATAAAAGTATGAAACAAAATCTTTTCATGAAACCAAAGAAGAACTTATATATTAGTTTTAACTCTCACATTATGGATAACTTTTATCTGAAATCCTTTTTACTTCATTGAGTCCAAGATTCTAATTTACAGTTTTGTCCTTACCTACTATGATAAATAAAAAAGACATTTTTAAATTAAGTTTAAAAAACATTTTAATTTTATTTTGTTAATAATAAATATAATTTTTACTAAAGATTGTCAATTCATCCACTATTATATATGATTTAATTGTTGTTATTTATATGAAATAAGTCTTATTTTTTAACAGTGATACAATCACAATCTAAGGTGTATTAAAACAAAAATTGTGATCTATACAATTAACCTTTAGATGTAACACCAGCATACACAATCATCTGAGACATCAAAGCAAGAATAGTGCTGTTGTTTTTTTCATTATTTCAATTTTCTTTTACATTAATTTTACACTTCATATAAAATTTATGTAGTGAGGAATAAACACGTATACTAGAATTTTTGTTCTTTAAATTGTTATAATTATAATTTTTGTATTACAAGTTTCCATTTTATTTTCCAATTAAAAGCATAAAGTTAGTTATCTTTATCTATATAGTTAGTTTTCTTTATATTTTAAGGATTAATTTTCTAGTTATGAGGAATTTTTAAGTCAAATATATATATCGCCGTTGAACAAATGTACTTTCTTAATGTTCAAGATCTCTCTCATGGTTTGTGTATGTTCGATGACTAAGGAATTTTTCATCATAAGCAGTAATATTGTAGTGGATGAGCAAGTATCTTTTTTTTTGTTCAGAAGACCACTCTACAATTAAGAAGAAACATGAATTTTGTTATATCTTATAGAAATAAAAATTAATTCATCAGTTTTGCTATTCTAGAAGACTTAGTTTGTAATTTGAAAAGTATTAGTTATATAAACTAAACATTAACTTAACAGTGCAATGCATTCCACATCTATAATTTATTATTTTATTTTTATGTATATGAATTTAACTTATGTACTTGTATTCTTTACTTAATAAATATATATTATTTTTTTTTTAGTAAATATAGATTATAAATGAGAAAAATGCAGTGTAATATAAATGGTTTCTTTTATTTCTCTTAAATGTTGTTTGTGATTTTGTAAAATAAATAATAAATGAACTTGTGCAAAAGTTTTATACATTAAAACCCAAATTTACATCCAAAAACACTTTTTTTAAACTCCAGACCGTTTGTTTTTCTACCTTCCTTTTCTTTGGTTCGAAAAGAGAAATAATAGAAGTAAATAACAATAAATTATGCTATGAGAATTTAAACAAAGTAAAATAATATCTATCTCTATTATTATTTATATTCTTACTACTCCCTTTATCCTTAATTTACTTTTATTGATTATGATATTTTTTTATTTATTTCGGTCTATACTATGTAAATTTATATATTGTATATCTGAATTAGTTTCATCCTTGATGAAGAACCAAAAGTTTGTATTGAGCGTTCTATTTCGCAATAAAATAATGATTAAATCCTGATAATTTGTTCAATAGTATAAACCGCAGTCGATAAACTATAATCAATATATTCTATACTATTAACAATTAACAAGATAATTTTCAAAAAATATAATTTAAATGTTAAGGTTTCAACTATCAAAAGATTTAAAATGAAACTCAGTGTCAAAATTTAAAAGAACAACATCGAGAAAGCAGAATGAATTATACTTAATGAATATGAATAATATGATAGATAGAAAGTTGTAGAAACTTACCTTCAACAATTGAAAAAAAAAAATTAGCAAACAGTTTTACTTTGAATTAGATAAACATTCAGAAAATATAAATATGTAGTTCATAATACATACAGAAATGAGCACCAGTGTTTGATTATAAAGAAAGAATAGGGTAAACTAAAAACAACTCTTCACAGAAATACATTTATTTGTATTATTCTATTATGTTTTACCACATATATATATATAGATACATAACTTCCGCTCCAGTTCACAAGGCCAGGTCAACTCTGACTGCAAAAGAACATTCCAGAGTTCATCTCGGCCTCGGATTGGCCCTGACCTCAACCCACTAGATTATCGGCTTTATATTAAACTAGAGAGGATGGCGTGCCACAGAGCACACCCTAACTTGGAAAGTCTCAAACTGTCTCGGGCCCGAACAGTTGAGCACTGGCCATGGAGATTAAATGCCTGTGTCAAGACAAAAGGGGGACATTTTGGGTAATTTCTTTTTTGTTTTACTCTCTATAGATATACACTTTATTTTCTAACACTATTTGAAAAATTTGATTTTTCTGTTGAAATTTGTATATATTTCCTTGTAACAATTTTTATGACAGGACTAGGTATATTATTTTAGAAGGTAAATATAAATTTTTTGAAATTGATATTCACAGCTGTTTGA